TTTGTTATTTAGAGCAGTTGTTTACATAATTTCTAAGTGAATGTATGTATGTCTTTAAAAATTTTGAATTACATCATGAATTACATGTGTGATTTCCTTTCCCAACTTTTTATTTTGAAAAATTTCAAATCTTTACAATAGTTGCAAGAATAGTCAATAACTGTCTTTTTTTTTAATTTAAAGTTTTTAAAAACACCCTTGTTTATTTTTTCGCACTGTAGAATTTCTCCCCTCATGTGTGGTCACTATAATTTTCCCACAGACAAAGCACCCATAGTCCTTCACCAACCTCCTCCATACTCCCCCCCACCCCTTCCCTCCTCTCCTGCTTCTGCATGTCTCAGATCTAAGATCTGCTTTCAGGGGTCAGTCTTATAGTTTGTCTTTGTGATCCTTTGTTTGGTTTCTCTAGATTTCACATATAAGGGAAACCATCTGGTATTATCTTTCTCCTTCTAACTCACTTTGCTTAGAAATAATCCCTTCCAGTTATAACCATGTTGCTGCAAATGGCATGAGTTTATCTTTTTTGATTGCTGAGTAGTATTCCATTGTGTATATGTAACCACATCTTCTTGATCCACTTATCTGTTCTGGGGCATTTAGGTTGCTTCCATATCTTGGCTGTTGTGAACAGTGCTGCTGTAAACATAGGAATGCAGGTTTCTCTTCGAATTAGTATTTTTGTGCTCTTTAGGTAGATGCCTAGGAGTGGAATTGCTGGGTCATATGGTGAATCCATTTTTAGTCTTTGGAGGAATCTCCACTCTTTTCCGTAGGGGCTGAACCAGTCAACATTGCAACCAACAGTGTAATAGGGTTAATTTTTCTCCACACTCCACACTCTTGCTGAACAAACTTTTATTCTTCTGTAGCAATTATTCATTGCCAACATTTTACCAATTGCTACATGTTGCCTGATTTTTTTTTCTGAACCATTTGAGTAAGTTGCAGACATAGTAACACTTCACCCCTAAATGCTGACCACCTATCTCTTAAGAGCAAGAATGGTCTTGTGTGTGACCATTGTACAGTTGTCACACTCAGGAATAAACATTGAGACAATACTCCAATAGACTGGTATCTGATATACAGTTCACATTTAAATATGGGGTTTGATAACTTGGAATCCATGAATAAGCCCCAAGGTCAGCTCTGCTGGTACCATTTCATTGATAAAAGACCGATTCAGAGTCCCTTTTCCCACATATCTTGGCATTTAATTTCTGAGATGTTTCCCAAGTGCACTGGTTGTTCTTATGTCTTATGGGTTGGAAGTCAGTAGCTATCAGTTTTCAAAGGGATTTCCTCTTCTATATGCAACTAACTTAAAAGCTTTGAGCTTTTCTGTATAAGTCTGCCATGGACCTCTTCTCTTCTGGAAAGGAATTGACTCTCTTAAGTAGTTGTTTGTATTCTGGTAGGTAAATGTAAATAGTTTTTTTTTTTTTTTGAAAGATTTATTTATTTATTTTACACAAGAACCAGGGTACAGGCCAGATGTGCAGGAGAGGGGAGCAGAACAGGCAGACTGATGAAATACACTGCTGAGGGAAGCAGCGGGTGTGACAGTAGAGATCTACACACCATGTGGGACCCTCGCCCTGCCGGCTGGGATCTAACCGGCACTGCAGAGGCTGCGGACAGCTTCACAGCGCGGCGCTCAACCACCTGCGCCGCCAGGGGAGGCTCGGTAAATGTAGTTTTCCAGTTTAGGTGTTTGATATAGGCTTCCTCAATTTAGTGAAGTCACTGTAGGGGAGGAAAAAGAATTTTCTTCCTGTCTTTGGTTCTTGGCTGAGACACATTCTGTAATAAAGGACAGATTAACAGGAGAAAAACAAATTTAATATTATATGAATGGGAGCCACAAAGATATGGGGCTTTACAGGCAAATGAAGTTCATGTGTCATGATGAGCTAAGAAATGGGCAGAGGCCCGGGACTTCAAAGGGGAGAAGGATAGTTCACAAAAGGATGAGAAGAGCAGATGTTTGGTGATTAGATGTTTGCCCTGCCATACAGATGGGTCATTCAGATAAAAAGTCAGCTTTGGGCCAGGCCTTCTGTCTAAATGATTTCAGCTAGTTAGGGAAGTAAAAGGTTTGTTTTTGTAACCTGCTGGGTCTTGATTACCTTCGGCAGTATGTGCCACATGCCACAGCAGCACATTTTGGGGAGGCTTATTTTGAACCCCTCATCACATAAAATGGTATAAATCTCATTTTCCATCTGCGCATCCATCTCCTAAGCAGTCACTTTTCCTCTGTGCCACATCATAAATCCAGTCTTAGAAAACTTTCTAACTTTCCTTGGACTTTCCAGCAGTATTCCAGGAACCTTCCTGGCGTACTTAGATCAGGTCACCTTGTGTTCTTTGCACCATAATTCTGTTGCTCAATCACTGTGAAGTGTACCCAAGCGTGAGGCTAGTAGTAGCCTCCAAAAATAATCTGCATATGTCACAACCACCTCAAAACCCTTACCAGTAAATAGTCAGCAGTCTACAACTAAATGGTAATTGTAGCTTTATGATCATTACTCAAAAAAAAAAAAAAAAAAAAAAGGAAAAGAAAAATACGAAGAGGGATTTCATTCATCAAAAGTGGCAATGTTTTCCTTTTTTTAAAAAAAGATTTTATTGATTTATTTTTGCATAGAATGGGCACTTCTCTTTCTCTTTTACCAGGTCTCTTTCTCCCTTATTTCCTTGCCATGTGACATCTCTGCCACCTCACAATGACCTCTTCTACCTTTTTAAGTTTCTTCACAGAAGCAGTTTCTGTACCTACTTAATATATACTCATCCTGCCCATGTTTTTAATTAGAGCTTTACCTTGTAGATCAATTTAGTCCCTCAGGCTTTCATCTTCCTCACTGACGCTGCCCATTTTACCCAGTTTCTGTGGTGGGAGTAGTAGGTTTTGGGGGGGCGAATACAGCACACGCGTCTCTCTCCTTCTGTGGAAAGAAGTGGGGAGACAGGAGGGTGGGGAGGAGACTGTAAATACTCAGTATGTAATTTTTAAATGGTTTTCAACAGAACCAAACCCCAAATTATATTTTTCTTGGAGAATATGCCTGTAGACCATGTCTGACCCCTTTGGAATCTCAGAACTAAATTTAGAATGTTACTGGTCTTTGCATGATGTTCATTCCGTATTACTTACTTATTTCAAAGTAATTTATTTTGGTGCTATAAAAATACTTCTCTATAAAAATACTTTCAAGGCCCTCCTTGTGGCCCAAGGGGTTAAGTCCTAGCACTATGAAGTTGTCCACAGCCACTGCATCCCGGCCAGGAAGCTGCCCAGCAGACCTTTCCTGTCTTGCCTGCTGCTCCCCTTAGCAGTGTATTTCAGCCGGTCCACCTGTTCTGTTCCCCAGTCTCTGGTAGAGTCTCTCACCCCCACACCTCTGCCCTGTACCCCAGTTCTTGTATGAATAAGTAAATAAATCTTTAAAAAAATAAATATACGTTAACAGAAGTATTAAGATGCAATTCACATACCCTAGAACACACCCTTTTAAGGTGATAATTCAGTGGTGGTTAATAGACTCATGGAATTGTATAGATATCACCTTTATTTAATTATCGATACCACATTTTCATCATTCAAAAAGAAACTTGGTACCTGTTACTAGTTGCTCCTCATTCTGCCCTCCCACCAGTTGGTGGAGGACTTTTCTGGATTTTTCATATAAATGAATAAAGAATATTCACAATATTGTGCACACATCACCACTATCTACTTCCAGAACTTTTTGTCATTGTCATTCAAAACTCTGTGTCCATTACATATTAATCTCCACACTCCAGCTCTCAGTAACTTCTGTCTACTGTCTATTTTTATAAATTAGCCTATCCCAGCTATGTCACCTAAGTAGAGATATACAACATCTGACCTTTTGAGTCTGGCTTGTTTCATGTAGAAGAATATCTTTGAGGTTCATCAGTGTTGTAGTGCGTATCAGAATTTCATTCCCTTTTGCACAAATTTCTTCTGTAAGCAGATCTAGCATAATTTTTAAAGGCATAGATTTGTACAATTTGAAGATCAGCAAGCATATAACTGGTATAATTTAAATCCTAAGTTAATGAAGAAAATATACTTCAAGAAGTTCTAGAAGTTTTGGCTTTAAGATCCTGGGACAGCTTCTTAGAGAGAGGAACCCCCCTCCCCCCCAGCCCTCTTGCCTCCTGTGCTCATTTGTGAAGTCAGAAGGTATTTCTTTTTTCTCTTTAAAGATTTATTTTTATTTATTCATGCACACAAGAACTGGGGTACAGGTCAGGAGTGCAGGGGTATGAGGATTCACGAGAGACAGAGTGGGGAGCAGAACAGGCAGATTTACTGAAATACACTGCTGAGGGGAGCAGCAGGGGAGACAGGAGAGGTCTGCTGGGCCATGTGGGTTGCTCCCTGGCCGGGGATCGAACTCATGTTGCAGTGGCTGGCAATAGCTTGATAGTGCTGAGACTTACTCCCTGCCTCACCAGGGAGGCCCCAGAAGGTATTTCTTCTGAAAAATTCTCACTGCAGTAACGAAGACTTGCCATGTGGATTTTAGATGGGGCTTCCTCATGGTGTACCATGAGAGGAAGGCATTTTGCTTTTCATAATGTTTATATACCAGGGATAACCCTTGATAGGGACAAATTGTGCACCTAGCTTTTACCTGCACGTGGCATGAGTATCTGTGTGGTGGTACTGACAGACTTTATTTGACTGTTTCAGCCCCACAATCATGGTATCCAGCCTTTTATCTCATTGATTTTCCAAATAAGAGTACTCAAATATGCCTTTTACACACTCTAATTGTCTTAAGACACGCTTATCAACACCTGAGCTTATCCATGCCTGTGGAAATGGGATAGATTCCATTCTCTATTCATAAAAAATAGTTACGTAAAATTCCATTGACTTCTGATTTGTCTTGTTTATGCTATTTTCTGAAATAAACACAAAAGAAATTACCAGCATTCTCTTGACTTCTTAGATTAAAACTTTGGAACAGAACAAAGCCATTGAATACCTACATAAATCCAGAGACAAACTGGAGAAGATGAAGGAGAAAGCTGAGAAAAAGTTGATGTCTGTTAAGTCAGAGCTGGACACGACAGAGCACGAGGCCAAGGAGGATAAAGAGAGGGCCAGGAACATGATCGAAGTGGTCACCAGCGAAATGAAGATGCTGAAAAAATCCCTGGTAGAAGCTGAAAAGAGAGAAAAACAGGTGGGTAGGAATCTGGTGGGCAAACCTTGTTTAGGAGAGCAAGGTGATGCAAATGCGTGATGATTCACGTGTTCCTAAGATTATGCAATGCGTAAGCATATTCTTCATAAGCATCGTAGAAAGCTGTCGATGTCATTTCAACCTATCTGCCCGCCCTCTAGCTTTATTTTGGCCTTAAAAGAACCACTAGGATTTACCCCCCCTAGAAGAAATAATTCATGTTTTTGTGGCACGAATTGTAGGAAAGAAAGACGCTCTTATCACAGCCATGGAAAACCTGTGCAAAGCCAGGTCCTGGGGGTGGAGAGCTCTGTGTTTGTTCTCTGTCTGCCTCTGAAGTTTGCATCATCTCAGATCTGCTGAGGTTAACCAGCACTCTAGTCTCTGCAGGGACCCTTATCTCCAGCAGAGATCAGTTGCAGGAAACAACCCCAAATAGCAAACCATGGCATGGAGACTTACAGCCGACCAAGCCCAGATGTACACCGTAAAACAGTGCTCAGCACTGGCCGGTCCAAGGCGGGGAGCTTTATCTGGGGAGCTCATCGGGCGGTCAGGCTTAAAGAAACACGTACTGGGCAGCTTGACCCCTGCTGCTTTGGCTTTCATCTCGCTCCTTTCTGGAGCTCAGAAGGCCAGAGGGTGGACTCTGACCTTCGGATTTTTTTTCTCTTTGGCTGCCTCTGCTTTGGCTCATGTGTCAGGCAGAGTGAGGCAGATCAAACTCTTAAGAGTGAGTGTTCTTGGAGGGAAATCGCTCGGAAATTAAGCACTTTGACCATATTCAAAAGGGCGGAAGAGTTTGAGGGCGGCTTTGTCATCAAGGAGACCTGGCTGAGAGGCTGCTGTGGCTCCCAAATTGGACTCAGCACAGGAAAGAGGCTGGGAAGTGAGTGAGCAGAGTTGGGAGAGTCTGGAAGGCAGGTGTCTCGGGTGTAACATCTGTCCCTCCTGAAATGGCAGGTGCCTCTGACCCAGACATCGCCCCCACAGGGATCCTCCCCCACCCCCCGCAATCTGTCCGCCTCTGTTTTAGCCTAGAACCACAGCCTCCAGGCTATTGGACTTCAAAGGGGTGGGAGGCACATTTTAACCAATGTCTCCAGTCCTCCTCCTGCCCTCCCGCATTTTCCTTTTTGGAATGGATACCTTGTGATCCCAGAGAGCCCTAAGTGACCGATACCGGGGCGCAGCCTGCCCATCGTTGAGAGGTGCTCCTCTTTCCATCAGCTCTTTGTCTCTTGCCATTTGTTCTTCCTTTAGTGTAAGAGGCTCCTCACCCTGTTAAAGTTTCAGGGCACACGCGCTTGTCCCCAGGGACACAGCCACGCCAACATGTGTAAAGCTCTCCCTGCTGCGCAGGAGTCACACAGTCAGTATTTTGTTTGACCCGGATTTCAGCACAGCCCTGGCAGGGAGGCGTGTGGTGGCCCCCACCCCGGGGGTGAGGGAGCAGTGAGGTCCTCCTCATCCCTGGTTACTTCACGGGAACGCCTGGCTCTGTAGTCAGTACCACATGGATCAGCTCGTCAGAAAAGTGGTTGTGAAATCGCTGAAGGAAGAACCTTCGAGGTCATCTAGGAGGCCAGCCTGCTTATTTTATCAACAGAGACCTTAGGTTGACTAGAGTAAGCCTGTCGCCTACCTGACACCTGTGTCTTTCCTTCTGCCTTGGCCCAGCGACCGTTGATGCGCCTTGTTCTCTCCGTTCACCTTTCTGCTTGATGTTGCAGCTGGTGGACTTCAGGGAGGTGGTTTCCCAGATGCTGGGCTTGAACCTGACCAGTCTCGCTCTTCCCGACTACGAGATCATCAAGTGCCTGGAAAGACTGATCCATTCGCACCAGTGTCACCTCGTCCCGTGTGCTTGCCTCAGAGATGTGGCCGGCGGGCGAGAGAGACCCCCTCAAGGCCACTTCAAACCTCTAAATTGAACGCCATCTCTCTCGAGGGAGGTGGAGCTAAGAGATGACACACAATTCTAATCTTCACAGATTCCGCAAACCTTTGAAACTTGATCAGTGTGTGAATGGGTGTACTCTGACGGTGGAGCAAGAATCCGTCGTTCATGAGAAAGGGATCTCGAAGGTGCCAGCTGCAGGAAAATGTTGGCCCTGAAAGCACCTCTTAACTTCGTTTGCTAGCACTTTGCGGCCCAGGGAAATTCCAGTCGACTACATATGGAGAATGGGAAATGGTGGAAGGGAATTAACGTTTACGGGGGACCTATGACAAGTCAGGGAACTGACTCCCCAATTTGATTCTCATAATAACCACACAGAAAAGCTAACGTTTTTATTTTACAACCTCTCCGGAGTGTGTTACCGACTCAGGATGGGCTGGTGATGGAATCAGAAGGTATTTTATGTTGGCTCTGAGTCCAAGGCCCTGCCTTCTCTGCTGCCTCTGTCCTTGGTCTCTCCAGCCCCCTGTTTCTGGTGGAAATCGCCTGCCCAGGGAGGAAAACATCCCCAAGGTCAGGAACTGAAGCACAGAAATGACTGGGACAGATGATTGGGACGTGACCTATATGATTTCTTTAAAAAGCAGCCTATGGATGGAGCTGGAAGGGAATATGCTAAGCGAAATTAGTCAGAAGGAAAAAGATCAACATCAGATGGTCTCACTTACATGTGGACTATAGAGAAACCGAACAAAGGGTCAAGAAAAAGACAAAACTTGCAAAGTCACCACAGATCTGAGGCCTCCAGCAAGAGAGGGGGAGGAAAAGGGATCAAAACAGGGTGGGAAGAGCACAAGGGACTGTGGTGACGGTCACAGGTGCTTTGGTGGTGGAGGAGCCACAGGGACTGCACCTGAGGGGAAAAATCAAACACTACAACAATAAATAATGATGTCAGAAAGTAAATAAATAAATTTAATTAAATGAAAAAAAGCAGCACACCTAATTATTTGAATAAAACACACAGAGGTCTGAGATCCTGGAAGACACTTACCTGGTGTAAACTTTGCTACCATCTTGCACTAGTAGGAACTTTTAATGCCTGAACTGATCTGACCTCAGTACTTTATTTATTTATTCATTCATTTATTTATTTATTTTAAAGATTTATTTATTTATACAAGAACTGGGACACAGGGCAGAGGTGTGGGGGGTGAGAGCATTCACCAGAGACAGAGCGGGGAGCAGAACAGGCAGACTGACTGAAATCCACTGCTGAGGGGAGCAGCAGGGAGACAGGAGAGGTCTGCCGTGCCATGTGGGTATCTCCCTGGTCGGCCGGGGATCGAACCAGCACTGCAGAGGCTGTGGACATCTTCACAGCACTCAGCCCACTGCGCCACCAGGGAGGCCCTGATCTCAGTACTTTAAAAGTGAAAGCTTTGATGTGACTCTTGTAAGAAAAGACACCCTCCACACTCTCATTCACCAGTATCTCAAATGCACACACAGTCAGGGGCCTTCATTAGGGGAGGGATTTTTTTCTAAGAATTATTATCACTTCCTGCCTTACATTTAAATGTGTGGTTCACAAATACTTTTCCAGAAACCATTTCCTTAAGTTCACTGAGAAAAGCACATTATTCTTTTAAGTGAAACTCTTTGTTCTGTAACATGGAATTAAAAAAAAATTATTAGTCCTTATTTTCTTTGTGTGTATATATATTTTTATTATTGAGGTAACATTGGTGTTCAGCATCGTGTGTGTTTTGGGGGATAGACTCACACCTCTTCAGAGGTATGTCACCATGCTCCATCCACCACCAACACGTGGTGGGAATCTTTTTGTAGTCCCTGCACAAAGCATCGGCGTCTCATTAAAGGAGCAGAGGAAATAAGATTACACTCAGACACTAAGAGACATTGAAAAATCTAAAGGTTTATTTTTTAATTTATGCATACAAGAACTGGGGTGAAGCCAGAGGGTTGGGAGGTGACAGGATTCACCAGAGACAGAGTGGGGAGCAGAACAGGTGGATCTACTGAAATCCATGGCTGAGGGGAGCAGCGGGGAGACAGGAGAGGTCTGCTGTGCCAGGTCGGTAGCTCCCTGGCTGGAGATTGAACTCATGCTGCAGTGGCAGCTCATAGCTTCATAGTGCTGAGACTTAACCTCTTGTGCCACAAGGGAGGCCCAGAGATAGAAAACTCTAGAAGGAAGGAAATGAGTATAGGTGCAGGTTGACATGCACAGGTTGAGCGAGAAGACACCCAGCAGGAGAGTCACCAAGCTCCGGTGGAGTCACCTCTGCTTGCGTGCACCTTCCTGTGCAAGAACAGTAGGGAATAAAAAGTAGTCTTTTCCAGGGGAGGAAACACACCTGCACAGCCCAGACAGAGACCACAGCAAAGTCTGCAGCAGACAGGAGAGGTAGCCTCATATTCCCCGGGCAAGGCCTGCAGTCTCTCTGGTCCCCTCGCTGCTCCAGAGGTGCAGGGACTGCCCGGCTGCACCCACCACCCACTGAGTGGAGGAGGTGGTTGTTGGGGTCTCTGCTTCACACAGGCCCCAGAAAAGCAGTCAGTAGTGGAGGGTCCTGGGGAGAGGGGATTATGTTTTTACTTTCACTCTGCTTTTATTTTCTAAATATGATCTTCAGTCAGTTTTATTTTTTTTGTGAAGTTATCTTCTATGTTATTCGAAGGTATGTTTAGCAGCATCTTTTATTTCAAGTTAAAATACACAGAGTATGAAATTTACCATCCTAGTCTTTTTTTTAAAGCTTTATGGAATTCTTTTTGTTTTTTTTTTTTTTTAAATATTTATTTATTTATACATACAAGAGATGGGTACAGGCCAGAGGTGCAGGGGGTGAGAGAATTCACCAGAGACAGAGTGGGGAACAGAACAGGCAGACTGATGAAATACACTGCTGAGGGGAGCAGTGGGGAGACGGGAGAGGTCTCCGGCACCATGTGGGTCAGCTCCCCAGCCAGGGATCAAACTCATGCTGCAGAGGCTGCGGACAGCTTCATAGTGCAGTGCTTAACCCCTTGTGCCACCAGGGAGGCCCCATTCTAGTCATTTTTAAGGACAGTTCAGTGGTTTTTAGCACATTCACAGTGTTGTGCAGAAATCACCAGCATCCATCCCATAACTCTTTCATCTTGTGCTCTAAAAGCTCAATGCCTATTAAGAAATAATTCCCCATTCCCCCCTTCATCTAACCCCTGGCAACCATCATTATTTTTTCTGTTTTTATGACTTGAGTACTTTCTGTAAGTGGACTTGTATGGTATTGGCCTTCTTTTGGTGATTGGCTTATTTTACTTAGCTTGAAGTCCTCAAAGTTCATCCATATTGTAGCAATTTTTCCTTTTTAAGGCTGTATAATATTCCATGGTATGTTTATACCACATTTTGCTTATCCATTCATCAATCCATTCATTAACGGATACTTGAATTGCTTCAATGTTTTAGTTATTGGGAACAATGCTGCTATGGCTATGGGTGTACACATATCTCTTCAGCCCTGTCAATTCTTTTGGGTGTTTTCTTGGAGCTGGTATTGCTATTCATATTTATATTTTTTTGAGGAACCTTCACAACAGAAAACATTTTTACATGTCTGCCAACACTACAGAAGGGTTCTCATTTCTCCACATTCTTGTTTGTTAATAATGTGTTAGAATACTATTTTTTCATTTTTGCTTATCATTAATTATATTTCTGAATTCCTGTAAGAGACTAAAATGGTTCACAGGGCTTAGTATTGTTCTTTTCTTAATGATACAAAATTGCATTTTATTTATCCAAATATGTTTCTATGATAGTTCCACTATAGGGCTCAAACATCATACACAATAATCTTTAATACATATAGAAATATTAAAAATGCTTAATACAACCCTTAAGGATTTCTGGTAGAGTCTATGGAATGAGAAAAATAAAAATAAGCTCATGTAATTTATCCATGTGCATATTAATGATGTGCCATTTGGACAAATGAAAATCCCCCATTAAAGCCATTTCTCTGCTTATTAAGATGCCAGTTGGTTCATGGCTTTCTGTATACACATTCATTTCAGAGTTGGCAGGCCAGCTGCACATTTTTATGTTAGATATTGTCTTTTATAATATCCATGTATATTTTATGTAGTACAATAAAATGTACTAGGTTGATGTGATTTCTAAGTAGAGTCTTAAAATATTTAACAATGACTTCTTTTTTTCTCATAAAAATACTGAATTTTATTTTAAATGACCATATTCATGCAATACAAGAAGTATACAATTTGAGAGTTTACTGACATGTCTTGCTTTATGCTCTAATCTCTCTGAAACTTTTTTTTTTTTTGGTTGAGATTTTCATTCTTTGGTCAAGTGGCAAGATTTAAACTTCTGTTTGCATCTGTAAAGGTCGGATGACCTTCACTTCATGATTTCTTGGGGTATCTGTGAAAAATTTTTGAAGATGCCTTTCTGTTTAGGTGGGATATGTATCTGGGTGGCTTGGAGAATTATTCAGAAGATCATCATCTTACAAAAATGACAAATTTTCTGAGATTTTTTTCCCACCTCAAAGTATTCTTTGTGATTCCGGTCCAGGGGCCCACGAAGCAGCAGCCAAAGTCCAGGAGGACACTGCGCCATGTTGCTCGGGGACCGCTTTAACAGTGACTTCTACCAAATACACTTGAGTGATAATTGCTACTGAGGTTGCTACTCTGGTCATTGAGACATTTAAATATATGCATAAACTATCTCAGGAAATAATTAAACCTGATCTATGGAAATTTCTATATATGATGAACAGCAAGTGACTCAAGGTCAAGGAGTGTTGGACTGAGATGCTGTTACAGAATGTCTGTATTAGTGATTCTGTAACAACACTCTGGACTCAGGAATAGATCCAATTTTAACTGGAAAAACTTTTCATGATTACAGAACCTTTGACTGGGGAGACTCCAGCCATGGTATGCAGTGGCGATCACTGCATGATTGCAAAGCTTTTAGGTTCTCCTAAGCAGGTGGGATCTGGATGCTTCTCTTCCCCTAAGCACCCTCCATGCTATTATTCCTTCACTAGCACTTGCTGGTGGCTCCTGCTAACAGATACAACTTTCTTCTGGTCTTCATTATGGATACCTGTGTGGATACCTAGAATACCTGTCTGTTCTTCCTGTTTAAGACTTGCAAAAGCGTCAATGTCTTCTTCAACCCCATGAAGTGCTGTCTTCATTTTGGATGACTTTAATGCTCTCAAGGCAAATGTGTGCAGTCCTTATAGCTTTAGTGTCTTGACCTCAGCTTTCATATCTTTACTTGCTTTTGTTTTTTCCACTTATATCCAAGGTGTAGTTTATAGAAATGCAACTAAGACTACCTTAAGTCAAGGTGAGGATTTGGGACACTCGTTTGAAAGATTGAGTGTGGCCAGATCTAGGGATTCAAAATTGTTACCTGGACACCTTTGGCTTCTATCAGTCTTTCATTTCTGCTTGACTTACTTGTTGGTCTCACTTTCTACTTGTGACAGGGTCCTCCATGTTGCAAGGATAGATGGTCACAGGCAGCGACAAGGTCTTTATAATTCACAAGTGGGAAGAAATAAACTCTCTCCCTTTGACTTCCCTGGAAGAAATCTGAGCGAAAAATCTGATCTTCTTTTCTTGGACATCTCCTATTTTCTCTTTACTAGCCTTGCCAATCTGGTACCAGCCTAGATATTATGGTTCATTTCTTCAATCATTCCCTTCCTAACACCTTCAATTTCTTATTTCCTTGTCTTTTTGTTCTAAACTTGGAATGAACCCCAACGACTAATGTCTCTGCTGCTTTTCCTCTGCCTGGAATGAGCCTAGAGGAAATCACATAAAATCACAGTTAAGTGGCATGTCAGATTCATGACCCTTGATCGCGCTTGAGTAATTGGTAACCCTTCATTGTTTTACTGGTTAATCTCTACCATTTTCCCAAAAGACTATTGCAAATATTCTTCCCTCCCTCAAGTCTCTTATTCTCTTGACTATCAGCAGATAATCACCCAGAAAATAGAGCAATTACAGGAAATACCAGCAATATCAGGTTCTGGTATCGCTTGATAAGTATCCACACCAACCCTCGCTTCCTTCCCTCTTCCTGGCTCAGGTTATTTCCTCTCCCTAACCATGTTTCTCCTCAGCAACTTGCTCCCACCGCTTATTTCCCTCCCTCTACAATGCTTTCAACCTGACCTTCATTAGTGCCTTATTTACATCAAACCTCTCCCACCTTAAGAAGCAATCACTCCTTCTGCTCCACGACTTAGAGCCTTGTCTCTTTCTCTTCCCAGCCAAACCGCTTGAACATGTGGTTTCTCTTGCTGTTTTCTAGTCTCCCCCCTCCCTCCCCACAGGTCATCAGCTTGCAAGCTGCCTGCTGTCTCCACTCACCCAGCTCTCACACATTTTTTATCAAATCTCCATTACTTTTAAAGTGCTCATCTTACTTGATCTTTCAGTAACACTTGATACAATCGATCATTTCCTTCTTAAAACACTCTCTTTCCTTCTATGATGTGACATTCAACTCTATTTTCCTGCCTCGCTGGGTACTTTGAGTTTGAGTATTGAAGAGTGTAAGAAACAAAGATGAAATGAGAGATGAATGTAAGGGTAGGTGGGGGTAAGTGGGGGCAGGAATCTTGCCCTCTGTGAAGGTCATACATCTTGGAAACTGGAGTAATGGAT